TTCCGGCCAAAAGTACTTCCCTTCTCTGAACGCATTCCCTCGGAATTTCTTCATTTTCTTCAAAAAAAAAGTTCCTTCTTCTTCCTGAAATATTGCGGCCAAGGGACAGGTTTTCGAAATCCGATATCTAATGGAACCAAATTTTTATTCATTTCTCTCAGAATAGCATATTTTCATCAATTCCTTGAAATCTTACCTTGAATACCTTCCCAAGCAACACAGAATGTTGCGAAACCGACGTTGCATTCTGGTCGCATCGTCGCGGAAGTTGCATCGACGTCACACCAACGTTATTTGACGGCCATGATTTCTAGTCCTAAAGTGCATTTTGAAAAAACGAAAAAGCTATTGGCCCTTCTTATGCATATTGCTAAACGCCCAAGGTGACATGTTTCGATGGCCCAACGTTAGGAAAAGGTTGGGAAAGGGAGGGGGAACATGAATGGTGGGGAACGAAGTAATTGGCCCAATATGGGTCAGCCAATTCTCCGCCATGCTACTAGATGGAGGTATTGGTCACGCGGTTCGCACAGAACGCAAAAGTTCACCTCCTTCTTTCCATGGAGTCGTCTCTCGCTGGATGTTTTAGTACCTCGTCATATATTTCGCCTACTCCTATTGGGGGAATCATGAACGCGGACACTTCAGCATTCATTATTCACATATTCTACTCAGACTCATGAAGCGCAGGCCATAAACAAGCTCGTAATCACGATGAGAAACCTTTTGAGAGAGAAGTAATGATTCATCTGAAAATGATTTATTGAGTAGTGTTGAAATGGTCGCGAACTGGTTCGCCCTTTCCTTACTCAATGACAGGATGTGGATGTTAAGGACTGATATCGCGGACAGAACTCGGAACCGAATGACGTGGCTCTTCCTCTGACATGGACTGTAATCAGAACAGTTAGTGGCAGAACAACTTCTCTTCTGGCCTTGACATAGGACATCATGGAGATGCAATTCATGAAGAACAATGACAGGGATTACGACGCCCGAAGCACGTTATGGGGTTAAGGTACTACGGAACGTAAAAATAGGGAACAGACGACAATGAGAAATTACTGCCGAATCCTGGGCGAAATTGTCGAGTCTCCTCTGACCAAGAACGATTTGACGGAGGCCATGTCTAAGAATCATGCAGCAATCGACCGTGTTTCTTCTGCATACCTCCGTCCTTGTCTAAGATTACGGCCTGCTTTTTCCTCAGAGTCAATGGTGTGATGGAATAACCTGATGACACCTACATAGCTTTTCCAGGCGAATCGATAGGATTAGGAATGGCAGGAATTTTCCCAGTTGTGCCTAAATTGGCCAGCATACTGTACGAAGCGTGATCCTTCTTTTTCTCTCTCACTCACTTCTTTTTCCTGTCTAGACTTACTTTACTAGTCTAGTCTACTGTCTAGACTAGTAAAACCACACGCAAGAATAAACGCCACTAATCAAACTTCACTTTTCCATCTATGAGATTTTGAATTATTTTCTGTTCTTCGAAAAGGAATATCGAATTTCCTTTCTCTAGTATTTTCCTATAATAAAAAATACTTTCAGTTGATATTCAATCTCCAAAATATATTTCTCTCCGGATAATCCAAACTGCTTATGGCTATCACGAGGTGGAAAAAAGAGCTATTGACGAGCAATTTTCTACCACGGAGCATTCACATCCTCGATCCTGCGTCATCTATTTAAAGTAAAGGAAGACAAATGAGTGCAATCGCATGCTCATTCGTTTGTTTTAACCGTTCTTCCTTGACTTTGGGGCGATCCGTTTCCACTCGTCAGATGTACGATGTAGTGGCGTTTTCACATTGCTCGAATTGTTTTTCATATTCAACGCTACAGTCATCTTCGAATATAGAATTCTCAGTTTGCTCGAATCCATTGTGACGATTTTCCTCGTTTCCGGAGAATAGGTCGTCTTTGAGGTTTGCATATGCCCTGGAACTATCTTTTTGCACTCGTGGTTCCTGTCTTTCTTGGTGGTGATCCTCTTGTGTTATTGTTGCCATCTTCGGCAGATTGTCCGTCTTTGACTGAAAATTCTCCGATTTCACATGTTCGGGTGCATTTGAAATACCTTCTTTTCCATACTTTTTCTTCAACGGTATCAGGTATCCATCATCCGTATCAGTTGGCATCAATTTTAGATAGTCCGTTTTGGTCCGGAAGTACTCTGCGTTCTTTTTCTCGAACAACTCGTACTTTTCCATGTAGTGCTATAAGAGAACATGATCGAAAAGTTGTTGAAATCTGGGTTTGAATCAAAGATCGAAAGGGCATGGAAGAGATTCTCACCAGACGCTCAGACTCTAGAAGCATTTCACCGAACCATGCACTCAACACGGGGAAGGTCGGACGATTGTTTGGATCCTCATCCCAACACTTCCTCATCATTTCGTAGCTGTTAAGGGACGGAAAAAAATTGTCGGTATGAACCTCCGATGAACATCATGTTCAAAGTAAAAACCGCGACTGGTATACAGTGTCTCACAAATGATGATCGGCGAATCGAGGTGCCTCCATGCGGTACCCCGTCTGGAGAAGCCGGACGAGCTCTACGCCGTTCAATCCAGGATACGGGGTCTTCCCAAGGCTGAACATTTCCCAAAGTGTAATTCCATACGCCCAAACATCTGATTTGCTCGTATAGACCATGTCCTGTGTGAGGGACTCCAAGGCCATCCATTTTATCGGCAATGGACCCTGGAAGACTCAGATTCCGTCCATTAGTGAAAAATATATCATTCATGGATATTACAACATACCGTGGAACACAGATTTGGTACTCACATCCCCCTTTGTGATGTACTGATTGTTCTTATAGATGTCTCTGGCAAGGCCAAAGTCGGAAATTTTCACAATGTTGTCTTCTGCAAGTAAAATGTTTCTCGCGGCCAGGTCCCTGTGCACCACCTGTGAAAGCAATGAAAGCCAGAAGATTAGTCAGTTTCTGAATTCCATACATTTGGTTAAACTCTTGTTTTCCGACATTATCAAAAGGCATTTAATAAATTGTAATTGATATATTGACATTGACTAGGTCCATTTTAAATAGGATTGTGAGGATTAAATGTAGGATTCATGAATTTGAAATTTTTTTGGCTATTAAGGAGGGCTGGAGCACGGTGGGAACAGATGCTGAGGATCAAAAATAGATGAGAAACTAGATAAGAATTTGCTCATCCTGAGCCTTTGTACTTTTCCCTCCTGAGCTTCACATATTTTTCAATATTCAAATTCAGATCTCATGAAGAAGTCAACCTTAAGTGGAGCTCGGTGATTTATATTAAGAAGGTGATTTCACTTGATCAATCGATCACAGCACGTGATCATTTGAAGCCCTTGAAAGATGACACACTACTAGAGGGAGCTTGCGAGTTTTCTTTTCATTTTTGCCGAAAGTGACATTTGATTGGCTAAGAGTGAAAGTGATATTGAGAATATTGAGATTGGGGAGGCTCACCTTACGGGAACCCAAGTATTCCATGCCTTTAGCTATCTGAAAAGCCCAAGAGACGAGATTGCTAGTCGTGAATTGTCTTGAGCGATCGCTTCCTTCTGAGGACTGATGGCTGGTGTTGCCCTTCAGCGCAGGATGTTTTGATTCACTCTCTC